AAAGAGGTCCTTTGCAGCTGATTTGCCCAGTGCTATACATCATCTGATGTCCTGACTGCTGCTTCCATTGGTGTCAATTGTAGAACCAAGCAATGCGAAGTCTTTGACAATTTCAATCTTTTCTCCATTTATCGTAATGCTGCTTAGAGGTCCATTTGTGAGGATTTTTGTTTTCTTTATATTGACATGTAATCCGTACTGCAGACTGTAGTCTTCAATATTTATCAGTAAATACTTCAAGTCATCCTCACTTTCAGCAAGCAAAGTTGTGTCATCATTGTATTGCAAGTTGTTAATGATTCTTCCTCCAATCCTGATGCCACATTCTTCTTCATATAGTCCAGCTTCTCAGATTATTTGCTCAGCATATAGCTTGAATAAGTATGGTGAAAAGATACAACCCTGACACACTCCCTTCTTGATTTTAAACCATGTAGTGTCCACTTGTTCTTTTCAAATGACAGTCTCCTAGTCTATGTACAGGTTCCTCATGAGTACAATCAAGTGTTCAGGAATTCCAATTCTTCTCAATGTTATCCACAATTTGTTATGATCTACACAATTGAATGCTTTTGCATAGTCAATAAAACACAAGTAAAAATCTTTCTGTTATTCTTTGCTTTCAGCCAACATCCATTTGACATCAGCAATCATATCCCTTGTTCCACGTTCTCTTCTAGATCCAGCTTGCATTTCTGGAAGTTCTCTGTCAATGTACTGCTGCAACTATTTTTGAATTATCTTCAGTAAGATTTTACTGGCATGAGATATTAATGATATTGTTTGATAATTTCCACATTCTGTGGGATCACCTTCCTTGGGAATGTTTACAAATATGGATCTCTTCCAGTCAGTTGGCCGGTAGCTGTCCTCCACATCTCTTGCCATAACTGAGTGAGTGCCTCCCACGAGGCATCTGTTTGTTGAAACATCTCAATGGGTATTCTGTCATTTCCTGGAGCCTTGATTTTCACCAATTCTTTCAGTGCAGCTTTGACTTCTTCCTTTAATACCATTAGTTCTTGAACATATGCCATGTCCTGAAATGAACGAAGATGGACTGGTTCTTTTTGGTACAGCGACCCTGTGTATTCCTTCCATCTTCTTTTGATGTTTCCTGCATCATTCAATATTTTTCCCATTGACTCTTTCAATATTGTAATTCGAGGCTTAAATTTTTTCCTCAGTTCTTTCAGCCTGAGAAATGCTGAGCATGTTCTTCCCTTTTGGTCTTCTAAATCCAGGTCTTTGCACATTTCATTATGGTAATTGGCTTTGTATGCTTGAGCTGGTCCTTGAAATCTTCTGTTCAGCTCTTTTATCTTGTCATTTCTTCCATTTGCTTTAGCTACTCTCCATTCTAGGGCAAGTTTAGAGTCTCTTCTGACAACCATTTTGGTCTTTTCTTCCTTTCTTGTCTTTTTAATGACTTCTTGCTTTCTTTATGGATGATGTTCCTGATGTTATCCCACAATTCTTCTGTTTTTCAATCATTGGTGTTCAATGCATCAAATGTATTCTTTAGATGGTCTTTAAATTCAGGAGAGATATAATCAAGGTCATATTTTGGCTCTCATGGACTTTTTTTAATTGCCTTCATCTTCAACTTGAACTAGCACAAGAACAGTTGATGGTCTGTTCCACAATCAGCTCCTGGCCTTGTTTTGTCTGAAGATATTGAACTTTTCCATTGCTCTTGCCACAAATTGTAGTCAGTATGATTCCTGTGTACTTCAGCTAGTGAAGTCCACATGTATAGCCGCCATTTGTGTTGTTAGAAAAGGGTATTTGCAATGAATAAGTCATTGGTCTTGCAAAATTCTATCATGCGATCTCCAGCATTATTTCTGTCACCAAGGCCAAATTTTCCAACTACCGGTGATTCTTCTTTGTTTCCAACCTTTGCATTCCAGTCTCCAGTGACATTTAGCACATCTTGATTGCATGCTCAGTCAATTTCAGATTGTAGAAGTTTATAAAAATATTCAATTTCCTCATCTTTGGCTTTGGTGGTGTGTGTGTAAATTTGAATAATAGTAGTATTAACTAATGGGTGTTCCTTGTAGGCATATGGATATCATCCTATCACTGACAGCATTGTATTTCAGGACAGATCTTGAAACATCCTTTGCAATGATTAATGCCACACCATTCCTCTTCATATTGTCATTCCTGGCATAGTAGATCATATGGTTGTCTGATTCAAAATGGTCAAAATTGGTCACTTTCAGCCCACTAATGCCTAGGATACCAATCTTTATGTGTTCCATTTCATTTTTGACAACTTTCAATTTTCCTAGCCAGGAAGTCCTAGCCAGGCAAATAAAGCAAGAAAGTGAAATAATAGGCATCCAAATTGGCAAAGAGGAAGTAAATCTATCTCTAGTTGTCTATGATATGATTCTAAACATAGAAAACCCAAGAGACTCAACTGAAAACTACTGGAACTAAAGAGAGGTTCATCAAAGTGGCAGGATACAAGGTCAACACACAAAAATCAGTTGGATTCCTCTACACCAACAAAGAGACCTCTGAAAAGAAATAAAGGAAACAATACCATTTACAATAGCTATTAAAAAGATAAAATATTTAGTAATAAATCTTACCAGAGACACAAAAGACTTATACAAAGAAAACTATAAAATAGTACTGGTGGAGACCACAAGGAATCTACATAAATGGAAGAATCTGCCTTGTTCATGAATAGGTACATTTCACATTTTCACAAATGTCAATACTTCCCAAAGGAATCTACACATTCACTGCAATCCCAATCCAGATACCAACAATTTTTTTTAAGGACATGGAAAAACCAATTACTAACTTCATATGGAAAGGAAAGAGACCTCAGATAAGCAGAGGACTACTGAAGAACAAAGTGGGAGGTCTCATACTCCTGGATGCTCAAATGTACTATTCAGACACAATAGTCAAAACAGCATGGTATTGGTACAATGATAGACAGATAGACCAATGGAACAGAATTGAAAACCCAGAAATAGACCCATCCATCTATGGACAGCTGATCTTTGACAAAGATTCAAAACCCATTAAATGGGGAAGAGTTAGCCTCTTCAAA